TTTTGCTTTATACATACTTCTGCAAGAACACATCCCTTTCATGCAGATGACAGTATATCAGTTGTTCAAACCATTAAAAAGTGACTTTTAAGTTTTCTTGAATTTTTTTTTACTAAATAAAGTATCACATTGGTTTATACATAAGTATATATATGATACATGACTTAAAGTTGACAACATAATTCTTACTCCATATCATGGCATTGCATTGTAAAAATATAATATCTTTAATAACATAAGTAATGAAACAAAGTTTATCATCATACTGCCCCAACAGCGACCACTATATCTTTTACCATTCCAAAGACAACTTGGTTTTCCAAATGGCATGTATTAACTCCCATTAACAGATTTTTTACCAAACATTTACTGTCAATAATTTCAGGGCAGTAAGTGTAAATAATATTTGAGTTACAATCTCTAATGACCTAACACTATGCATACATAGTTTGAAACAGATTTAGCCGACCCCAATCATATGTTCCAAACATTGCCCTTGCTAATGGCGTGTAATTCTCACACACGAAGAAGGACTTATCAAAGTACCATTTTACTGCACTCATTACAATAAAGTATTCAGTGGGTGTCAATACCTTCATCATAGCATTATAAAGCTATATATCTTAATTTTTTCCTTAACATAAATTCAAACTTAAATAGCAAGATACTTTTAAAGGAAATCAGATGGAATCAAATAATAAAACACAAACAGTTTAAAACGTTAATTATTGAAGACTAACCTATATGTTACCGGGTTAAGATAGGCAAAACCATGTCAATAAGGTCTGGCTTGAATTCCTGAAAAGGTAACCACCACGAGAACCTCATCAGAGATAATACTGAAACAATGAACAGTTATAGAACATATTCTCTCTGTCTTATCAAGGGTATTACTAAAAACAATTTAATATGAAATTAGACATTCAAGAAGTGCAAAATATGATTTTGAGTTTAAACTTGCATGAACTGGTTTTGAGATACAGTTCTACTTTCATAATTTCCCTGTTTCCATCACCCACCCGTAAGTGTAACAGAAGATTTGGAACAGACAAAAATCAAATCACAAACAATATTAGTCATGGATTGATAGTTTCACCCAGCATTCTTTATATAACATATTCCTATCTTGGAAACTTACTTTAACAGTGTTGCTACAAGTCACCACCATATATTCATATAAGAGGTGCAGATCTCATATTCCTCCCCAGGTTGAACAAATCAATCCATCAACATGAAAAAAATTAACATAATATAAAAAATCACATCAAAAGTTGTTTCAACCGAGCCACATATTTAAAAAGTTTAAACAAGCTTATACAGCATCCTTCAAATTCATGTTAGGTTAGGTTCTCAAATAGCCCACTTAAACGCCAACCATGAAATGCTTTTGCTGACCGGGGTGGTTATGACGTAACCTATGTACAAAGAAATGAATATCTTTATGTGTTTGCCCTAGGACAATTGTTTATTTTACCTGTATTGTATTATTGTACATTGCACACACACACAAAAAACATATAAATAAATAATAATGGGAAAATCCTCACAAATACTTCAGAAATAAATATATTACAGTGGTCTCAAATCGATCAGTTCGATTAACAAAATTTTGTTAACGAATTAACTCCTATAGGATCTTCAATTCGGTTAATGAACAAAACTTTGATTAACGAAATCTCTACAAAAACACGCTTTTGTTGTGAGCATCAGCTGATGGGCTAATCTGCCAATTCAGTAATCTGTTCTATGTTTACATCTCTTCCAGTGGGTAAATATCAAGAAAAGTTGTCTTTAATATTTTTGCATTTTTATATAAAAAATTATTAGTCATTTTAAAATTTAGTTAACATATTGATATGATATGCAGTACAGAACTAGTTTTTTGTCGCCCATCAGCCCGCTTAGACTCAGCTAACAGGCGCCAGTTTGGCTTTTTGATACAGAGTGAACATCAATTTTGTTGGTGTCCTGAATATTTTGCATTTCTACATTAAAATTATTGGTCATTCTGGAATTTAGTTAACATATTGATAATATATAGTCAGTGCAGAGTTGATTTAATAAATAATCTTGAATTACAATCTAGTGAACTTAAAAATTTTATTGGTGAAACCACTGCATCACATGGAACCCTGAAAGGTGATTTCTCCCCATCCCACTTCCTTCTCTCCTTCTCCTCCACCCCCACTTCTAATTCCTCCATCATCATCATCAACCAGGAACCTTCACATACACACACCTCAAAGTAAGTGTACTTACTACATTTTTTTTTTACTTTGTATGTACTTTTCTGTGAGCTGGAACCAATCATCTAATATCCCATGGAACAATGGATTTGTTAACGAACAACTCTGTGGAACGAATTGTGTTCAAGTAAACTCGATCATCATTATAAGGTTGTTCATCTCAAGTCCACTCAGCTTTGAATAAAGACGGAGTGGACTTGAGGAAAACTCAACATTTCTAATACATTGTTTCTGAATATTTGTGAGAGAATTTCCCATAATTATTTATTTGTATGTGTTTCACACACACACATATACACATATACTGTATATACAATACATAAAGGAAATAATGTCTCCAACGAATGGCTCCTGTCGTGGCCGCAAAAATGCCAGAAACTTTTAAAACTACCCCTTAGACATTCTTGGGTGCCGGCCCAGGTGTCATCCGTGAATAATCGAGGCTCATGAATTTAAAGGGCATGCTGTACATTCTACTGGCAAACAGGTCGATCACAGATTCCTCTAAGAAATCTGCTTTTAGCATTACTGTACTACATGTAACTGTTCTGAGAGTCCACAGGTGGCGATTGGGGTCGTTTCCTTATCTTTAAAACGAAAAGTCATACTGCTAAGATCTCGCATTCACAAACACCCACTGCTGTGGACCTTCTTTTTTAACAGATTCAGGTACTGCAGAAAACAAACCTGATTACTATTATTATATCATCAATTTTATTATTCTTATTATCTGTCATCTGCCTTATCACATGGTTATACAGTACATATGCCAAACCTAAAAAAAAAAAAAAAAAAAATGAGAGTAGAACTATGGGTTATGATACAGTGACACTAATATATTAATAAATGGAAGAGGAGATGATTATGAAGATTGTTTGAAACAGTGGATGTATGAGACAAATTTAATATATTGGTGATTTAATCATTCAACAGAGCTTATGGATATTTACCTGATCTGTGAAATGCCGAAGAGTAAATAAAGTAAGGATGTTGTATGTAGATGAATTTACCAACTGTATTGATATGGGAAAAGGTACAATTAAAGTAATACACTACCACTCTGTATTAATGAAGTGTTTGAATCGATTCGCCACCATTCAGAATGATTTAGTCATTTCGTCACATCGACTTTTAGTTCTTTTCTTTTTACACAATACAGTATGGCTGAAGACAGCTAACAGTAAATGAGACAAGAAAAGTGATAAAGCATGTACAAATGGTTGAGAGTGATCAATTAATGTAACAGGGAGTGAACTGTATCATAGGATGCAAGATGTGATATACTGGAGGTGAATAGCAGATTAGAAGCAAATATATATTAAGCATTTGGAAGAACTTTACACTGTGAATAAGCTCGTAAGGAATAAGAAACAATTATTGAATAGTATAAGGAGATGTAGAAATGAAAGGAGTGTCAGAAGGAGAGCAGACCATGATTTGCTTTTAGTTTGAAATACATACTGAAATAATAATAAGGATAATCTAGTAAACAGAACATGACAGTATATGTCACCAGAGAACATGGTGCTGCGTGGTTCATAGGTGTGGAAGTGAGGCTGATGTGATGCTGATTACAGTATGTGAAATGACTGATAAAACAAGTTGTACATCTTGATCATGTTGTGAAGTGGAACACAAATGGCAAACATTCTTGCAACAAACAATAAGAAAAAATGAATGAGAGGGATGAAAAATGACTGTTGCTATTGATTTCACTTACTCTGAACCAGTGTTAAGAAAAGAGTTCCAAAATGAGAGCATAATAATAATAATTGATAAACATTATTTATATCAATTTATGAAAACATACCTCAAACACAGCTGAAACTATGTCTCAACGTGTTCAATTCCTTCTGTCAAGTCTACATTTACTTACAAAAAAGCAAAGCCTTTAGCACCTGACTTTGACCTCCAACCAGAGTTGACCCAGCCTCGCCCTTTGAGGTATGACAGTAGTGACCCCTGGACCCTCATGCCCAATGAGGTGACCTAGGTAGTGGCCAGGCTGCAGGGGAAATTTTAGATTAATGAGCTTCCCAGAGAGTAAAAGTGAAATACAGTACCCCTGTATATCCATCTCATTAAATATCAGATTTGTTGCCAAGATCATTACCACAAAATGAAAAATGTCAAATCTTGCTTAAAATCCAAAACTTATTTAAACTTCTAATTCCTCAATATGCATACTCTGGTTCTTAATTCGCCATGAGGAGAGAAAAAAATCAGACTGACTCTTACTCCAACTACAGTATACTACTGTACTGTACTACTACAACAAAAATGAATTCCTACAGTTCTGCCACTATATTTCTAAAACTCATAAATATTTAAAATATTCTACCCAAATTTTACATTAGTGAAAACAATCCCAAAAGATCAATACTATATCCTTAAACCTTAATACAAGTCACAAGGTTTGTAAATCACATGTCACAGATTATGACATTTAGGCACATGAATAAAAAGTCAATACAGTATACTGTACAGTACTGTAGTAGGGTCGCAGAGTATGCATATACTGTACATAGTACGCGGACTCGCTTATACGCGATTCGACCCCTTGAACTGCCCCTTACAAGATGGTGCCTCTTCACAAACAGTAACTCTTAATCGACACTGGCTAGCCTTACTTACTGCTGTTTTGTAGTGAGGATGAAGATCAGGAATGGGAAAGGTGACGATAAGTTACTTAATGTCCTTGACGGGCAACAACGTAATCCTAACTTGCAGCACTGTTGAGGCCCAAATGGTGGGTCAACCACCAGGCACAGTCACAGCCTTATTCTCCACCCCAGTGAACAGCTCCAGCACCATAGCTTCAAGCTCATCTAAGCTTTCTGTTGATACATACAGGAAAATATTGATGAACATTACAGAGCAATGGTCTGCCCATATTATGTGCACAATCAACATTAAGTATAATACTAATTATTTATTTTAGAGATCAATTACTGCACTATACTACAGGAATTTCAAAAGTTGTTGACAAAAACTGCTCAGCTCAAAATAAAATGTCAAGTTTCATTGATGTCTCCCCAGAAGATTTACTTCATATTCATACTGTGTACCCTGACATACATGCATTTAGCAGCTGTTGGCCCTGAGCCACATACTTAATGTTGCCAGCAGATAAATTACTGCACCAATATAGAGAGAAGAGGAGAAATACTGCACAATATATTATTATTATTATTCAGTTACTGGACAAGATATTGCCGAGGTGCATGCAAGTTAACACCTGGTGATTAGTAAAATATTACACAAGTTTTCTGCCAAGGTGACAAAACAAAGGCCGGTATTACTCAGATTTAAATGCCTATACTGTAGCCTAAAGTAGTTCATACTGTACAGCTAGGATAGCTTCATGACTCACCCTTCCCAGGACAGCTAAGGCCATTATGTTAGAAGAATACCATGGCATGAAACTGCAGAAGGGCATCACCGAACAGACACTGCGCCCTCCTTGGGTATCGTGTCCAACGCCTCCTGTTACCTGGTTTGAACATTTACAAATCAATAGTTTATTGAGAGAATAGACAGTATACTTAACCCTCCCAGCCTCAAGACGATGCCATTGTAAGGCCAACATAAAAAGGCAAAACTTATGCTCAGCCTCATGACGCCAATGGGCTATATTTTCAAATAACTCAAAACTATTCAGTGAAACTGACTGAACTTTGGACACCATTTCAGACGCCGTTTTCTTTGTGTGGGCCTTATCACCTTCCTCAGACGGTCTTGGTCGTAGCGCGGCAGCCCAGCATGAAGCCAGTGTCGCTTCTGCCATTAGAGCAAGAGGAGGTGCACTGCTTGGCCCTTTAATTATTCCATGATTGTTTGTTTTATATTATTTTTCCTTATACCACAATATTCTACATGCTTTGTTTTTATTTTAGTATATAGTACATATCACTGAACACCATAATACAAGGAAATTGTGAATGGAAATCGAGATGTTACTAAACATTTTTTCCTACTTTTTCAACTTATACTAAAAATGTGGCTGAAATTTCAAGAATTTTCAATTTTTATGGTTTCATACAATTTTATGCTAGAAGAGGCCCCATAGGTATGGTAGGTGACACAGAGGTATGGTAGGTGATACAGAGGTATGGTAGGTATGACAGAGGTATGGTAGGTGACAGAGGTATGGTAGGTTACACAGAGGTATGGTAGGTGACCAGAGGTATGGTAAGTGATACAGAGGTATGGTAGGTGACACAGAGGTATGGTAGGTGATACAGAGGTATGGTAGGTGATAGAGGTATGGTAGGTGACACAGAGGTATGGTAGGTGACACAGAGGTATGGTAGGTGACACAGAGGTATGGTAGGTGATAGAGGTATGGTAGGTGATACAGAGGTATGGTAGGTGACACAGAGGTATGGTAGGTGACACAGAGGTATGGTAGGTGACACAGAGGTATGGTAGGTGATACAGAGGCATAGTAGGTGATGCAGGTGGCCAAATATGCTGAGATCTTCCCAGATAATTTTAAATATCTCGACATTTCCCGAGTTATACTAATACATTCCAAGACCCTATCCATGCCAAGATATATGAAATTCAGAGTTATCGAGGGTTTATTGTACCGCATCAGTGCACCTCACCTCGCTACCTACACTTATTTTCATGAACTTTTATGTGGAGAACATATTGTCTTTAACATGGATACTTGAGGTAAAATTTAAAAATAATAAATTTTATGAAAAGAACACTTGCTCACTGAATACTGATTTGCTGTAGGCTTAACGAGAGCTACTAAGTACAGTATGAGAGATAAGACGCTTTGGGGATGCCGCCACTTTCATTATTTTATTTGGCTAACGCTGTACAATTTTATTCAGCTCAGATATACCCGCTCACAAGGGGTTAACATTTTGGACGGGCCTTCCCACAGTTTTAATTTGCAAGGGTTTGCTGTAGTCAAAATGTGATTATTCTATTGTCTAAACCACATACAGTAGACCCTTGCCATTCTCGAGGATAGGTTCCAAGAAATGGCGCCAATTGGGAAAACCGCAAATAGCAACTTCTACTATCTTAGTGCACTACTGTATACCTATACCAAACAACTGACCAGCTGCAGTAGCACTCATCCCCTCTTTACCTTATAATAATAAATCTTTCCCTTGTCAGGGTCATCACCGACATCTGCCTTTTACTTACCCACTATCATCACTAGTCAGTCTTTTAGGGTCCATCACACAGAAACACTAAAGTTTTGAGAGTACAACACGAGTTGCTGCGTGGGTGACTCGTTATGCTATGGGAAAAGGCTTGCAAGCTAGCCACCATCTGCTTACAGCTAATCAGTCGAATCCGCAAATGGCAAGGGTCTACTGTACAGTATTGTCTTTTATAAATTAACATAAGTGGGTAAACATTCAGATTGAAGGCTAAGCCCCAGTTGAACAGTACAGTAAAACCCTAATAACGATAGTAATGTGTCCTCCAATATTGCAGTATAAGGTGAATCATCAAGACGTGAATCAATAATTACTATTAAATTAAAGCAATTATAATGAGATGCATTCCTAGTGTTACCTTTTTCATATCTTTGTGTGGCTCTTTACCCTGTTTTCTCCGAAACAATAAAATTAATGAAAATGCAAACTATATTCTTTAAATAATGTTTATGAATGCACCTTATACAATATAAATCAATAATAATGTCACCCAAGAGGAGATTGGATGCCATTGTTGTTTTCAGTGTTTACACCTATGTCAGTTAGCCAACCTGAAACTAAAGAAAATAGACCCTGGTTGTTACAGTGGTAAAATTAATGTAAAAATATGTATGTTTTAATTAATGTACAGTAAAAGGAACCACTGATGTTAAAGAAGAAAAAAAGAGTGACAGCGAACGCTTAGTATACGCGAAAACCGCATCATTTATCTTATTAAGAATATGTACAAAAGATCATTATTGTTTATTACTGAATATGTATTTGATTGAATTAATATTTACATATGCTTAAATGAACGATAATTCAAGACAATAATGAGAATATTAAAACACACAAGAGGAGAGGAGATGGCATTGTTTTCAAGTAATGTTTACAACACCTGTGACGAATGTCGATGGTTCTACACAAGAAACTGAAGAAAATAAGACCCTGGTTGTAGCTGTAGAATTAATGCAAAAATGAATATGTATGTTTTAAGTAATGTTATTCAATGTTAATAAATGGAACAATAGACAAAGCTAACCATTAATTGGTAAAGAAAAACCTAAATGGATTGGGAATGCCAATGTGTACAGTAAGTGTGTACATGTGAAAACATCGCCATTTCTCTACATAAGAATATGAAAGCACCACTTATTACTGTTCATATATGTTTTAAATAACACTTATGAATGTAAAACAAAAATTTACTCACCAATGGTGGAAAGGTCTAAAATATAAGGACAGCCAATGAATATTAGGTTCAACTCAGGCTGAAGCTGTATTTATAAAGATGTCATAGCTGTTGCTGAAACTGTTACTGAACCTGAAGTTGTTGCTGAAGCTGCTTATGATGGTGTAGCTGTCGAAAGACCCTTACACAGCTGCTTTTCTTTTTATACATCTTATGTAGAGGTCATATGCATTTTTCATTCCTGTTAATTTTAATGCTTTGTTCTCTTAATGGATCCATTTCAGAAAATATGTTCATTGCTTGCTCCATAATAATATCCACAGACCTCACACCCTTTCATATTGTTTTAACACACCTAGTTTCTCGCTGAGCTTTTACACTTTCTTCTAGCTTTTGAACCAGCACTACCATCACTTGCTCTCTTGCTCATGTTGAATAGAAAGCAAAACTGACGAAGAAATCTAGAAATGTTTTTGTCCTTTTCCTGTTCACATGCTAAAAACAAAAGGCCGCCAAGCTGCAACTGTTTATTTATACTAGTCATGCTGAGGCTACTCAGTCACAAGCCTGGCAGCCTCCATGCTAAAGGCGTTTTTTTATAATAGATATCGATTTAGTTATTATGTATATGAAAATCATTTTTATTTTTTATTCTATTTTTGTTGTAAACATGAAGAAAATAATGGTGTAAATTTCATTGGGTCCTAAATTAACCAGGGTCTTAAATATGAATCAGTCAGTAGTAGAAAACAGTCGCTATCGGAGGCTCTCCTGTAGGTGTAGTGTGAATTTAGAGAGTTACCCAAAATAGGATGAGAAAAGGTACGCATTGTATTAGTGTGATGACAGAACTTCCAGACATGTAAGGTAATCATGAAAGTGAAAGTAAAACACTATATGCTAACCTGTACCAAACTTGCTGAAATCATGTTCTGGGTCAGCTGGGACTTCTCAAGCTGTGCGAATCTCCAGTAATCATTCTGAATGTTTTTCTCGGGCTCAGAATTAACTGCATTTACTTCACGACGACTGCACTTTCTGTAAATAATGGTGTCACAAAGAACTGGGAAAATCTGAAAAAGAGGAGAGAAATTTTAAAAGTTCTTTAATTTATATATATAGTCTTCTTTATTCAGACATCTTCATTTGCTGAAATTCTTGAAAAAAATGTCCCTTTTCCCGTGATTTTATCAAGATTTATCTTATCCACGCTTTCATTGTGGATCTACATGATATATATATATATATATATATATATATATATATATATATATATATATATATATATATATATATATATATATATATATATATATATATATATATATATATATATATATATATATATATATATATATATATATATATATATATATATATATACACACACTTCATTTTTAGTCCATATAACACGCAGACTTTGAACATATAATCAACGACCTCACCAGCAAGGAATCGAACCCTCGACCTACTGGGTGGGACTAGGGAACGCTTACCGGCTAGCCCACAAGTAGGTTGAGGGTTCGATTCCTTGCTGGTGAGGTCGTTGATTTTATATATATATATATATATATATATATATATATATATATATATATATATATATATATATATATATATATATATATATATATATATATATATATATATATATATATATATATATATATGTACAGTATCTAATACCTATTCTCCTTTATCAGGTATAAATTTCAATTAACTAAAACAAAGTCAGATGTACTAGTCCTCCAGATACACAAAAGCTTGCTATTTTATGAAGTCCAAAAGTAATTTTTTCGCTACTCCACTACAAGTTTATGTCTTACCTGTCTAATGCACCTGCAAAGGCATCGGGAGCAACATCAAAGTAGTAATTAGTGTGATCAGCAGCAGTGTAGGCATTGCTAGATCCTCCATGCTCAGACAAGTACTTGTTGTATTCATTTTCACAGGGATATTTTTCTGTGCCCATGAACAGCATGTGTTCACAGAAATGAGCCAACCCCGGCAACTCCCTTGGGTCCGACATGCTACCTGTTTAAATAATCAAATGAAAATTAATAGGTCATATAATATTACATTAGGGACTGTACCTCTACACTAATAATCATGACCACCTCAACCTAACCTGTTCAGTATATTCTCTACATGTCATATACTGTAGGGTGACAAAAAGGTTGAGCTGTTGTACAGGTCCTTCCCACTAGAAAAGGAACCTTACCCAAGCTGCTCAAAGACAATAATTCTAAACAGAGCATAAAACTTAAGAAGTAGCTATATTTTTCAATCTACACCTGAGCTGACATGGGACTTCCTTACTCTAAAATTACACACTACATACCAGAATCCAATTGTAATGGAACCACAAGTAAGTTTAGGATTAACTGTGATAATTCTCACAATCATCTCTCCTTAGATACTGTACAGCCTCACAACAACTTACCAACATGAACATCAAGAGCTGCGGCAGACTTGTCTGTCGCAGGGTCTGAGATGAGCAGCACTTTCAAGTCATTATCGAGCACAAGAGCTCGATACTCCCGCTGGTCTTCCTCAGACTTTTGTATCGAATCCACATGTTCCTTGATCCCCATGCTGGCCAGACTCACACTCCTGTGTATCAGAGGAATATTATCTTAATACAATAAATAGAGATAACACAATAATATGTTCACCAGTCTTTACCATCTTCTTTCCTTTAGGCAATCATCATTATCATAATAATAATAATAATATAAACTTCTGTATGTCTCCCAAGGTTATGCCTTGATGTTTACAATTGTTGTACACCTGCAATGTCTAGGTAAATGGAAATTTTAAACCTGCACAGTCTACATGCACTGTATACCTGCGATGTCTATACACATGCTGAACTGCATACTGTACTTGCATTGTGTATATACAGTACACGTCAAACCAATTGTAAACTTGTACAGTATAATGATTTTACTGAATAAATATGATTGTTACTGTATCATTAAAGCATTATTATTCTTATTACCAGTACTAGCTAGTTTTAGTTAATTTTATCTGCTTTTAGAAATGGCTTAATCCCTCTCATTTCTGGTCCAAGTGTAAACATAAGTTTATGTACATTGTTTTCTTGTTCCTCTACAGGATTTACATCTATGCATTAAAACACATCCATCAAGCAAGGTCAAGTCAAAGCCAAAGGCAATTTACCGCTATGCAAAGTAAAAATTAAAAACGCGAGTAGGAGTATCGGACCTGCAACAGGGTGGTAATATTGACACTATTTACCTAGATTTTGCTGAAAACTAAACTGGAAGGGTACAGGATTCAGGAAAATGCCCTAGCGTGGATCGGAGACTTTCTCCATGACCGCAAGCAGTGTGTGGTGATTAATGGCATGAAATCATCATGTATATTGTGTACCCGTCACAAGCAGGGTACCACAGGGCAGTGTATTGTGCCAGCTGTTGCTTGTTTGCTTCATAAATGACATGCCTGACGCTGTACATGCCTCCATACAAATGTTTGCGGATGAAGCCAAGTTATTTCGGGAAATTAAGAACCAAGCAGACTGTGAAGAGCTGCAGAAGGATCACTGTGAGCATCAAGAATTGTCGAAGAAATGGCTGCTAAGATTCAAGGTCATGAAGTGTAAGAGGCTGTACCTGGGATGTACCAACAGTAAGGAGGCGTATCATATGTCCCAATGGGACGAAGAAACTGCATTAATTGAGACAATGTGAAAAAGACCTTAGTGTGTACGTTGACAATGAGCTGAAGTTCTCGGACCATTGCGAGAAGGTAAATCAGGCAACTAAATTATGTCTTATAAGAAGGTCGTTCAGATATCTAGACGGTCCATCCCTTGTAACGCTCTTCAAGAGTGTAGTACTCCCCCGTCTGGAGTACTGTCACTCCATCTGGTCCCCGAGATATGCTAAGGACTGTCAGTTGATTGAAAATGTCCAAAGGAGGGCCACCAGACTGGCACCTGCACTGAGGTACCTCAGCTACCATGAGAGATTAGAGCGCCTGAATTTGCCTAGCTTATATTACAGACGGGCAAGTGGAGACCTAATTGAGGTGTATAAGCACCTCAAAGGGCACTATTCAGCTGAATGCCCTTACCTGGAGCTGGCAGACACTCTCCCTGCAAGGGGTCACAGCTCAAGGTTGAAGAAGCCGCAAGCCCAGAAAACTCTAAGGAGTAACTTTTTCTGAGTGAGAGTCGTGAACTCTTGGAACAATCTGCCAGAGTGTGTTGTGACGGCACTGAGTGTGAGCTCTTTCAAGACCAGACTTGATAAGCACTGGAGCAGGTTCAGATGCACCAGGAGCTGGTGCATGCCCAATACTTTCCACCAGTGCGTAACAGAGACATGACTGATCGCCCAAGCGGCTAGCGAGCCGATCAGTGGTGAAGTGGATAAAAGTAAAAAAGTATCAATAAAATTCCCACAAAAATATTCCTGCTATTCAGGTGGCACCCTTATTCTACACTACTGCACTACCAAATTCTACGAGTCGTCAAAGGTATTTTCTTGTGTATAATTTAAGGAGTCATCAGGGTTATCCAACTATCTATGGAAAAATCTCTTTAGAAAAAATTTAATTCTTACCTCAAGAATAAACCAAATCAGGTGGAGGAATAACACTTCTACCATTCAGGTTTTTGTTGCTAGTTTTTCTTTTCATCAAGAAATATGCAGCCAATATTGATGCATGCCACAGACATATTTGTCTACAGTACCTGAGCACCAAGATGCATTGTCATACTCATCAAGGTCGTTGTCCACACATTACAGACAATAACAATACAGTATTACATTTCGTACTCACTACAGTAAGACGAAACAACAACAGTAGCGGCAGCCTTGCAAAATTTTTCTATCGATAATAAAATTCTTCTTTCTTACATTTATAATATGACATATTATTAATACTGCAGTAGTAGTAGGTAGGATTTGCAATTTTCAACAAATAATATGACATACTGTATACAAGCAAATGAAGGGAAGGAAATACGGTCTTGGGGTTTCCTAACTGATTACAGTACATCACCCAGAGTAGCATGTTTTTGTGTTGCAAAAATATAAAATGTTTAATTGACATGAAGAGTGTATCACCAATTGATGAGGATAACAGTTTAAGGGATAAATGGCCTATGAAAGCGTAATTTCATTATTATTTATCATGTTGGAACAGTTAAGAAACCGAGTGAGGAAACTTTTCAATAGGACAAACATTCTTCATTTATCAAGAAAGTCCCCAAAATGGTGGAAATAAACTTTTGCCAAACAATAAGATCAAGAACCTAACCTAACAACTCTCCAATACTGATGTCTAACCTAACCAGAGAAACCAAAAGGACCTGACCTAACCTCCTATCCAAGGGAGTTTTGCTCCCCTGTGCATAAACCTAACCAAACCCAACAAGACAAAAAACAAAGGAACCTAAAGAACCAAAACTGAAATAAAAGTTAGAAAAAATAAAAAGATATAGCTACATTTCCAACAAAAATGCTATAGAGTAGAGCATTCTTATTTTTTCTCAATTTCCATATACTGTATACAAATCAATATAGTTCCCTGGTTGACCTTTTCTGAATCTTAACCGGAAGCCCACTTTCAGTTTTCCATGTTCCTAGCTGTGCGTACTACCTTCACATAAATGACTTACCTCAGCAATAAATAGCAGATAAAGAAGTACAGTACTTAACTTTTCAGCGTCAAGGTTACTGACCCCTGGGGAAGGCTGTGCTTGAAGCAATAACAGAGATAAGATAAACACAGTTGAAATACATAGGTGACTTATAGAACATACAATAATAATAATAAATATATATTAATATCTAAAGAACAATAACAAATTAGAAAAGGCTAACCATCTATTCAAACATTTTATTCACTTTCTTAACATTTTTCAACTAACACTCTTCTTACTACTTGTGAATACTGTATAGCGCTCTAATGTCTAATAATCACCAAAAAAATCTTAAAAAGTATCGTAAATAATAAAACTAACAGGCACGTATCTTGAACTTTTCATGACAAGGAAATATAATACACCAAATAGAAGACCTACTGTTACTAGAAACACCAATCAACACTGACGACACACACACAAAGGCAACACAACAGTTAGTGAGGTAATTACTCCAAACACAGGTGTAGTTTAACCTGGAACACGAGGTTGATTGACAGTTACATGTAAGAGTTTAACACCTGAGCCTGGAGGAAGACAAGACCTACAATACAGCAGCCAGAAGTTTTGTCCTGGTGATGTCCAGACCCCCAATAAACACCACAGATAAAAGTAATAAACGTCCCCACAAGGGTGTTGGTTACCTTGAAACAGTGAGTTAGTGATTAGCTTGACACATACGAGGTGGTGGGACCAACCTGTAGGAGGATAGGAAACCTAATGTGGTGGAGATCTTTGTCAAGTGGGGGCTGAGGACACCCAGGCCTCTCACAAACACCACTGATAAAGATTTGTATAATCTTCTCCTTTGGCCCCAACCATTAGTTATTAATCGCCACTGACACGCTCTGCCATTACCAACACATCCAAGAACAGTACGGATGAGCATTGAAATAAACAATGATGAACAATAAAGTGCGGGTACAAGGCACAGCAGTACAGTACCAGTGAGCAAGAAGCCTCAGTGATGCAGGCGAATATTTACCAGCTGTGGACTCCCCGGCGCATGCGCATCACACCCCTCGCTTATATCATTCTGCCCGTCACCGCATGCCATATTTATACTTATTACATCAGCCCTCTCATTGTCTGTCGCATGTGTATTGTAATGGAACATATTTTCAATGATAGCTTTCTGTAAACCAAGCCGCGTTGTATAAATCATATCGCAATGAACCCAGAACTGACTCGTGCAGCTGACCGTCATCGACCCGTTGACAACTCATCTTGACTTCGCATACTTTGCATTAGTTTTCCTATATCGGCTTTGTTCTAAAAACAAACAAAAAACAATCAAAACGTCTTGTCCACAACTCACATTAATGATCCAGTTACGCTTATATATATATATTTAAACCAGATAGGAAAACTTTTCTCTACTATTATCAACATGCTTACAGCTGTCATTTGGTAACAGTATACAGAAACCGCATTGACAACAGAGTGATGTAAGACTAGGTAAAGAAACACAGGATTTTTTTACATTACTCTGTTGTCAGTGTGTGTTCGTATACAGGATGGTGTAATGCGTCTAGTGTGGCAGCATTATGTTAGTGTTAAGGTGCAAGCACTGCTTGCTCCCTCACGCTTTCAGCTACCGCAGCTGGCTAGCCCTCGTGACGAACAGGGAAGCAACTTGCATAAGTTTTCCCCTGCCAGTACACAGCCTCTTCACCATCAAGACTACTGCTGTGCCTCCTCGTGGCAACACACGGTAACTGGGTGCCTTGTGGGCCCAGGCTAAACCAGCAGGGGATCTCGGAGTAGCAGTGGGCCCCAGAGGGCGGCGCATAGGCCCACTGGGATGTGGACACGTCCTGCTTTGTGGGCCCAGGCTAGACCAGCAGGGGATCTCAGAGTAGCATTGGGTCCCAGAGGGACGGCGTATTGCCCCACTGACTTGCGGATTAACCTTGGTAGGTATAACGCTACGGGAGTAAACCCCGAACGAAAAATCTGCGGTGGAACCCCGCATCAGGCAGACATGCTTACAGAGCTCCAACAAGTCCCCAACGGCGGTATAGGTGGAAGAGGTGACCTCCATGGGAACAAAACGACTACACCGACTGATGAAGGCAATGTCTGATGGACAGGCTACTAAGGCGAAACCCAACAAACTTGGCTATCGGCAGTTCATTGCAACTCTCCCTCTCCCCAGTCGTTCTAACACTTGCACCACTGGATCAGAAAAAGGGAGAGCCAAGATGTATGGTTGCAGCCTGCACTCCTGCTTCACCACATAAATCAATTCACGCACATCCATCATCCAGCTCACCATACCTCTCATCATCATCGAAAACCTTATACCCCCAAAAGTCCCATGGCGACGGACGAGTGACAACGGGGACAGGCAGTGATGACTGCCGGGAGTCTCTAGTCACAACTCTGCACATGGAAGGCATAGATAAGATGATCGTTTATGCGCTGGGATCTAGGCAGCAGTGCAATCTGGTCCTGTCTGTGCGACTGAGCAGGCCTTTCAAGGAGCCACTCTGCTCACCCCACCTGGGGAGGGGATAGAAAAGGTGCCCTAAACATAGCCCGCCTAAAAAAACAACCTGACTGGGCAACCGCACCCAGTAAGGTCATCCATATGCGGTCGAAAACAATCAAAATCTCAGATCCAAGCAAAAACAAACTATACAACCTCTTATGGTCGCTGCATGGAATATCAGGACCCTTCTGGATACTGACACAAATGAGCTTCCTGAAAGAAGAACTGCCCTAGTGGCAAAAGAGCTGGCTAGGTATAACATCGACATAGCAGCCATTAGCGAGTCCCTACACCCAGACGAGGGTCAACTCACAGAACGGGGGTAAGGCTATACCTTCTTCTGGAAGGGTAAGCCAGCTGCGGAGAGAAACCGCATTTATGGAGTTGGCTTTGCCATCTGCCAACGCATCCTACACAGGCTAACCGAAATGCCTATTGGGATCATTGAGCGCCTCATGACACTCCGAATCCCACTGAATCACTCACATCATGCCTGTTTCATCAGTGCATATGCCCCAACACTGGATGCAGAGGATGACATCAAGGAGGCCTTTTATGCCGACCTCGACAGAAGGTTAACCCCTATCCCCAGAGAAGATAAGGTTGTGCTCCTTGGTGACTTCAATGCCAGAGTTGGGAGAGATGCTGACATTTGGCAGGGAACCATAGGGAGAAATGGACTAGGCAAGTGTAATCCCAATGGCCTACTCCACAGCAAGTCTGCTGCACACAACCTCACTATCACCAACACCTTGTTTAGGCAGGCTGACAAGTTCAAGAGTTCGTGGCAACACCCACGATCCAAACACTGGCATCTCATTGACTACATCATTGTCAGAGAAAGAGATCCCCGAGATGTCCTCATCACACGTGCCATACGTGGCTCACACCACTGCGACACTGGTCATGTGCTCGTCAGAGCCAAGCTCTCACTTAACATGGGACTGATAAGCAACCTGACAATAAATAACCCAAACCCCAGTGCCGAGTGGGATATTCTCGATACTGTCATGACAAAAACCTGCAGAGACCCTTGGCCAGATCGAAAAAATACACCAGGACTGGTTTTATGAAAATGACCCGGCAATCAATGTACTCGTCGATGATAAACGTGCTGCTCTAACTGACTGGCAGAACAACCCTCAGTCTCGGACCAAAACTGATACTTTCCACAAGGAGAAAGCGGCGGCCCAGCGGGAACTTCACAATCTAAAGAACGACTGGTTTAAAAATAAAGTATATGTGAAACACAAAAATTTGCAGATCAGCACAAGATGCACGAATTTTTCAATTTCACTAAAACATTTTATGGGCCAATCACTCATGGCGCAGCCCCCCTTCGCTCATCAGACGGTAACTCCATAATTAAAGACGATGAAGTCCTTCAGTGGTGGAAAGACCACTACCATTCACTGCTCAACTGAAACACTGATGTGGATGTCCTGACTACCCAGCAGGTTCCTCAGCATCCAGAGCTGACCCACCTCAGCTATCCTCCATCCCTGGATGAGGTAGATACTGCCATCAAACAGATGAAAAATAACAAAGCCCCAAGGCCTGATGGAATCCCGGCCAAGGTGTATAAAGCAGGAGGACCTCTGCTTACCAGCCATCTCCACTTTTTCCTGGAGAATATAGGAAAAGAGGAAATCCCCCAAGCTCTTAAAGACGCCTCCATCGTCAATATTTACAAGAACATGGAGACTGGTCAGACTGTGGCAACTACCGCGGGATCTCGCTGCTGTCCGTAGCTGGCAAGATTATCGCCTGAGCTCTCCTAAACAGACTTCTTCAAAAGGCGGAAAAACCTCCTCCCAGAATCTCAATTTGGCTTTAGACCATCATGTGGCACCACTGACATGATCTTTGCTGCACATCAGATACAGGAAAGGTGCAGAGAACAGCGTCATGACCTGTACATGGTGTCGAGGCTTTAGATGTTAATGTCCTCTGGTTCTTTTCAAGATTACTGTCAGGTGGAACACTTTCACTTTCACCAAGGATATTGAACACGCGAAAGGATATTTGTAACACGATATTTCTATTTACACGCATTTACACATGAACATATGTAGGTATAGGAGTGCCGGACTGTCAGTCAGAAGAGATGTCGGGAGTGTAGACATTAGATGTGAAGCATGGGGTCATATATATCAACACAGAACAGGTGGTAAATAGGGGCCTTCTCCTCGACAAAAATGGCGCTGGAGAGCAAGTATCCTCCTAACCGGCACAGGTACTGGAGAATGGATCCAGGAGGAACAGCACAGAGGCTAGGGCTGACAGCGTCCTTGCTGGCGTGCTGACATACAGGGCTAGGAGTGCAGCCGCTCACACCAACGTGACCATGAATAAAAAGAGCTGCAACAATACAGCACCTTCCGGTGGAAGTTGTTTGGACTTACTTCCTAGCCCCCATTAGTCCCTGTTCACCTAGCAGTAAAGTAGGTACCTGTTGTAAATCGAAAGTTGCGAATTCGTATTCAGGGAGTTGTTGGAGCTTCCAATAACTTGATGACATAAACCATTGACTCTTCAGGCTTCTACGCCCTTGACTCTTCAGGTCTTCTACGCCCTTAACTCATGAGACATAAGGTAAGCATGAACTTAGCATGCTTCCCTGTTGGGCGCTGTAAACGCTTGTGCACTTCACCTTACACAAGGATGTAGGGGGGTGCCAAAAAACAAAACAATACAGTACTTTTAGAATATTGTCCTATTAAGTTGGTAGTAACGGTCAGCATGCCATTACATTTGCAAGATTTATACACACTAAGTTGTTCATACATAATAATTAACAAACATATTACACAAGGCACTCTTAAGACAAAAATAACATCATAAACCACAAACGATAATAAATATGGAATACTCACAGGCAGCAAGTGACCAACTGGGTCAGAGGAAGGGAGCCAAGTGACCAGCCACACGATCACACTCCGCACTATTATGACTCGATTCGAGCTACCCATGAGCAACACCTGCTTCATATGCAGAGAACAAACCCAACACTGAACAACACTGTACCAACAATCATTGAACTGAAATATAAACCCCTTACACATGGCTTTCATCGACTTAACCAAGGCCTTCGACTCAGTCAACGGGGAAGCCCTCTGGTGGACCCGTAGCCGCTTAGGCTGCCCACCAAAATTCATTGCCATTATGAGGCAACTCCACGATGACATGAACGGCAGTGTCCTGCACAATGGCACCCAGTCTGAGTTCTTCCCCATCCAAACAGGGGTTAATCAAGGGTGTGTACTGGCACCAACTCTCTTTTTCATTTTCTTGGCTGCCTTCCTTACTCGTTCCAGCACCTATTTAGCCGGTGGGGTGGACATCGGGTACCGGATGAAGGGTCTTTTCAACATAAGACGACTCCAGGCAGGAACAAAGGTGTCGACAGTTTCCATTACTGAGCTTCAGTATGCAGACAACCTCACCCTTGTCGCTCACACCGAACGCGACCTACAGGAGATCCTGAACACCTACGCAGATGCGTATGCACACTTCGGCCAGCTCTCTC